GTTCCCCAGCCGCGCAGCTGGAGGCGGGGTAGCCGCCAGCTCCGAGCCCGGGCTCTCGTCCTGCCCCAAACCACCCTGCTCGGCTGGAGCGGGCGCTGGCCGACTCGCAGGAGGTCCTCGCTGCTGGGAGACCCGTTCTCCCTGCGGATGTCCTCCAGAGCAAAACCCGCGTGTCAGCTTTCCTCCCCGTGCGGCCGGAGGAGAGCCGGTGCCGGGGTTTAGTCACTTACCGTCGGCTCTCCTGCTCCCCTAGGCTGGCCGTCAGCGGGACGGAAAGATGCCGTTGAAACCATTTACCTACCCGTTGCCTGAAACAAGGTTTCTTCATGCAGGCGGGCTTGTGTACAAATTTAAAATCCGGTATGGCAACTTTGGCAGGTAAGCATGATAAAGCTGCAAGGTCAGCCTGCGGTTTGGTGACTGCGTGTGGCAGTGAGTTAAGGAGATTCAGGTCTTGGGGGCTCCTCGTTTCCTGCCTTCTCTCACTGACCGTGCAAGTGGTCACTTAGAAGTCGCTGCTGCCCTTGCACGGGCTGGGCATTGGCCTGAGACAGTCACTGGAGCTGTAAAAAACGCTCCCGTGCCACTGCCAGGTGTGGGGTTGGTGCTTCAGTGGACAAAGAGGCTGCTTTTACCAACAGTATTTTGAAATTTTGGAAGTGTTGAACCAAGAAGCTCTAGAGCCTTTGTAGCGGTTTAACCCCAGCCGGCAGCTAAGCCCCATGTGGCCGCTCACTCGCTGCCCCACAGTGGGGTGGGGGAGAGAATCGGAAGGGTAAAGGTGAGAAAACTCCTGTGGTGAGGTAGAGGCGGTTTAATAAGTAAAGCAAAAGCTGTGTGCGCAAGCAAAGCAAAAGAAAGAATTCATTCGCTGCTTTCCGTCGGCGGGCAGGTGTTTAAAATCCCCAGGAAAGCAGGGCTCCATCACACTCAGCGGTGGCTTGGGAAGGCGAGAGCCGTAATGCGGAGCGTCCCCCCTTCCTTCTTCTTCCCCCGGCTTTATTGCTGAGCGTGACATCCCGTGGCCTGGAATATCCCTTGGGTCAGCTGGGCTCAGCCGTCCCAGCCTTGTCAGCCTCCCTACTTCTTGTGCACCCCCAGTCTCCTCGCTGGTGGGGTGGTGTGTGGCACTCAAACTTGGCCTGAAACTTTATGATTTGTTGCTGTTGGCCTCCGATCATTAATTCATAACGATAGTATTCATAAATATTGATGACCCCCCTCCAAAGCAGTGGCTCAGCATAACCTGGCTCCCTGTGTGCATCCTTGAAGGCTGGGACCGTCAGCAAACAGCAGGTCAAGGCTCTTGGAAGGTCTTCCAAACTGTTGAGATTAAATCTCTTTTCCGATGGTGGGAGTCGCGCAGAAACTGGGAGTGAGATCCTTTTGGGTCAGCCGGTATCCCTGCTCCAGAGAAACGGCGCAGCACCGTGCCACCCCGAAAGCCCTGTTCTCATGCCAGTGAGGTTGCAGCAGGGCTGAAATGGCATGGGCGGTGCCTACGGAGTGGCTTTGTGAGCGCAAGGGGCTTTGCTTTTGCACTCAGACGTGCGCAGACGTTGCCAGAGCTTGCTCTGGAAGTGACTGCTGTGAGCTGCGGGGGAGAATGCAGCATGACCATCACGCCAGTTAGGCTGCCTCCAGACCTGAAGCTCTGTTAAATCTTCTGCCACGCTTGTCTCCTCTTTCCTTTGTCGTCCGGCTCTTTGAAATTCTGTTGTGTGATTTTATTTTGAGATGAACTGGAACGCCATTGTTTCTTGAGCTTTGCTTATCAGCATTTTGCTGGAATAGCGTCAGATCTGGGAGGATTAACCTTCCTCCTTGTTTTGTTCTCTGTCGGTTTGGGAGAGGCAGGTGTCTCGGGGTGTTGTGTAGTGTTCAGAAGATCCTTGAGAAGGTACTCTTGTCTGTGAGTCGGCTCTTT